TTGCATGCTTCTCGTCATAACTTGGTAAAATAGCTTCGCAGCGCCACTTTGATTGATTGTGGGGTTTAACGTCCCAAAACCACCATATGATTATGAGAGACGCCGTAGTGAAGACCATAGGAAATTTCGACCACCTGGGGTTCTTTAACGTGCACCCAAATCTGAGAACACGGGCCTAATATTACCGCCTCCATCGGCAATGCAGCCACCGCAGACGGAATTCGATCCCGTGACCTGCGGGTCAGCAGCCGAGTACCTTAGCCACTGGACCACCCCGGCGGGGCCACAGCGCCACTTTGCGTTGAGAATAATTATTGCGAAGGAGCCACGCCTTCTTCACGCTTTACTAAAATGAAAGAAAGGCGGCCTTGCGGTGGGCACACTTAGCCAATATTTACATTGGCATCGCACTTTTCCAGGCGAAAGCCTAAGCTCTGTCACATATAACGTGAAAAGTTACGGTCGTCGTGAACGCTAAAAACGGAAGAAAGTGACATGATCACACACTGCGAGTGGATAACGTCAACATCTCATATCACTGCGTCCCCAGGTGATCTCGTCGTGACGCCATATATCACCAGTATCTTTAACGCTACTGCGACGTTGCTGCAACGTTGGTGACGCTTACGACGTTGCAATGACGTCACAAAGCATGATGTCACATACTGACGTCAACACACGAATCATTGTATGTTCAAAGGCAGGCCGATCCCGGAGGCAGCGGGAAAGCAGTCAATGCACCGAGAGAGAGAGAGAGAGAGAGAGAGAGAGAAGCAGAAGGAATATTGGAAAGGTAGGGGGTTGGACCACATCTGGTTCGCTACCATACACATGACGAAAAGGAAATAAGAGTGCACAAGAGAGAGAGAAGGAGAGACACATTGCGCGCTAAACATATAGTGAAGGAATGTACAGGCGATCGCTCAGTGACCTTGCCTTCAAGAAATAGGCTCGTCTGGCTTTCCGGGTTGATGTACGTGAAGCCCATGTACCCAAGATCATTCAGCTGTCGCAATGGTATAGCTGACTCATCCAAGTTCGATAACTGCAACTGTGTAAAAACTTCTGACCCCGTATTGTGCCATTTTCCCAACCTTGAACAAGGTCGCCGGACTTTCCAGTGTGTCTTGAGGTGACTGGATGATCGGCCCTTTACTCAAAGAGAGGCAGTGTGCAAAGAACTTGGTATGCTTCTGCTCGTAGAGCCAGCTGAAAATCACATTAGATGAGGGAAGCCATCGAGGCAAGATGAGGGCAAGATCAGGGAAAGTTTTCCAAGACCGTGTTGTTTGTTCAAAGGCGGAAACATCAGGAGTTGCTGTTACTAGCTCATGGTCACTGCAATACTGCCATTCGATTCGCAGTTATGCTGCGCTCCTGCCAAGTGTCTATAATTTACTGTAATTACTGATGTATACGTATTACGAGTGCCATTACGTTCCTGGTTCCTTTCAACCTCCTGCCTCACATACGCCCATACGACAAGAGTGGTTTATTTTTCGTCAAGCTTTGTTTTGCAGCGTCTTTATGTCGCATGCGCTGTACTATGACCTCCTACATTTTTCTTGCCAGCCGGACGAGCGCAAAACGCCCGTCATCTATGGCGGCGCCACCTACGTAGGGTTAAGGGGGTTTGTACTTGGCTTTTAAATCAGCAACTTTGGCGTTTGCTAATTTCAGAGGCTATGCCTTGTATTGAAAGGGGTTGCCTGCTGAATTAGCGTGAAAACGCCCGTCATCTACAGCAGCGCCACTTACGTAGAATTAATCATAATTAATTTTAATTACGTTTACGCATTCTCAAAACTTCTTTACGTTACATTCGTTGCATATAAACTCCAAAAACGTAAGAAGTTATTTGAAGACACCCCTACTTAAGTGGCACCATCATTGCAGTTCCGATGACGGCCGCTTTCAAAGTGACCGCCGATAATCAGGCGGGCAAGAGAAATCTAGAGGGCTGTGGTTGTACTCGCGCGACGTATGAGTAAGATACAGTAGCATAGCCATCAAAAAGGTTACCTAAGTAATGTTTAAATTCTCGGAAAAGGGGAAAGGCTATGTGCGAGCGTTACATGGCATGCTGCCACCTACAGAGGATCTTTACAACTTTCACATGAGTTCTTAAAGGACGTACAGAGTGCTGAACTTGTGAACATGTCAAGCAGTTATAGTTTGTAAACGTGCACTGCCAAATATATCTTTATGTGCGGAAGCTTAATTCGATGCATCTTTAAGCAATTTATTTTAAAATGATAATAAAAGCTATACGTACTTCCTGCTTTGCAATACGTAAACAGTACACGCACTGGATATTTTATTTGATAATCGAATACAATTTTTTCTGCCTTGATCGTTTCCGACTCGTATTTCAAAATAAAGGACTTGCCTAACCCTAGAAAAATTATCTTGTGGCGCCATCTCTTAACCTGTTTCCACTAGTTTTTGTTGTGTTTTTAGAAGTGGTAGTAATATTTACGTTTTCGGTCAAAGCAACGTATCAGTCTCGGAGTACAAACTTTTTTCTGATTTCACTAACTTCAAGAAATACAAATTCTTAAAATCGCGACTCCTAAGTATATTTCGGTAATAAACTCACTTTCCTAAACTGCATCTTTCTCGGACGGCCATAAATGCGGTAGAAATAGGGCAATAGTATATTTAGCCTAATATGCAAATTTCATCTTATATGAGTGTCTCAATTGACGGAGTTCTCACAGACGTAATGCCGTCTGTTTCATTGTCATTTGTGAAAAAATGCAGCATGTTCTATTTACTGTTTAGGTGTATGTAGTTTTACAAAACCATAAAAACGCCCTCCCATTGTAAAGCGCCGCTTCTATCTCCCTATTCAATTTCTGCATTAAAACTCAATGAGATTTTTTTTCTGTTCCGATCTGTACGACTCCTCAAGTTGGACATAACTTTCTCCTGATATTCTTTAAAAACAAAACAAAAATTAATACAGGAATATTTTCTCCCTTGCCTTTTAGGCTTTCTAAAGGCGAGTATATTTGAGACTTTGAAACACGCAGTAGTAAACATCCTTATACGAATATCTTATTTATTCTAAAACAGTATTATTCAATAAATAATTATTATAACTGTTCTACGGAAAAGTCGAAAGTATGTATGTGCCGACAGAGCCTTACTTGAGCGAGTTTCGGTTTCTGGATTTACCTCATTTTGAAAAAAAAAAGCTCCTTATACGTTTCATGCAAATGCTACGATAAACATAATGCAGACACAGAAAGTAACAAAAGTAGACCCATTTTTCTGTTTTGAAACGTATTGGGACTGAAGTGAAACTTTTTCAGGAAACAGCTTGCGTGGAATTCTCACACAAAAGTCACGGGACAATAACGGCTATAAAGAACAGAAATTGGAATAATAGGTAACATTTCGCTCATATTGCGGAGATATGGTTGAAATGAGGAATCCGGGTTCGTCTCTGCGTGCAGCGAGTTGTTTCTCCACACGTGCAACTGCACTTTCGTAAAGGCAACACCAGATGGCGCACATATTGAAACGCTTCCGAGAAGAAACGCATTTGTCCCTAATGACTCGCTATGTGCATCGTTCGCTGCATTGGAATGAGTCAACCTCCTACAAATTTAAATAATCCATATTGATAGGAGAATACAGCCACTCATAAACAAGAAAGAAACGACGTCATTGGTCACAATACACAGCGCGTTGCCGTTTTAGCTAGCCTAGAGACAAACAAAAACAATAATAGTGATGGGTGAAGAATATTCTGCTAAGACGGCAGCTGCCAATGGCCTTCACAATATATACGTTTTAATGATCAAAAAATAGCCTAGTGAAATTCTCGGAGCCAACTCTTATACGTTCGTCTACGACTGAAGCGTCTGATATGAGAATCATATAAGAGAATTTTCAGATAACCTTCAATTGATAGTAATAAACAAATTCAGTTACTGCATCCACAGCGCTGAATATGCACAAGCAGCTGTGAAACTTCAATATTTCGCTGAATTCTTTATCTGATTCACCAAGCAACAGGCTGATGTTTGGTAGGACCTTAAGGATCCTGGAAACTGCAGCGAGGGTCACAATGCAAACATTGAGCAGAGTAATATAAGTGTAATATTGAGAAATCTGAAGTACGCACTCCGGGATCTTTATGTGTCACACTGCCGAAACTGCGAGAAAGCATTGCACTGAGGGTAACGTCTACGTACAGCAGGGAAAGGAAAAAAAGAGACAGAAAAGTTGACCAGACGCGCGTTCTCTTTCCTATCATACTACAGTGAAAGGGAGTACGTGACGAAATAAAAAAAGAGCAGAGGGTAAGTGCAACAAAGGTAGAACGTGTCTGCCTGTCAACTACGCACCAAAAATCGATCACATAGCCCTCTCGATCTTATTTAGGAGCAGTATAGCAGGAATATACAATGTGCTAACTATACTTTGGAACACCTTTGCAACAAATGTTTTAAGTAAAAAACGACACAGCGAAGGGGAAGATATGGCATAGCTAGCTTTTCTGTGCTTACGTGTTACTATGGTACTTATCTTCATAGCCCTATCAAGACAATAATTTCACGATCCCCTAACTGTTCCGCTTTTTCACCTTCAGTAACAAACATATCGAAATCATCTCCACAATGCGTTTGAACCAACATTTCAAACGTCATATATATATACCGTGCACAGATGAGACACTTCGGTTTGGCAAATGTATAGGCGCGCGCGCGCGCGCGCGTGTGTGTGTGTGTGTGTGTGTGTGTGTGTGCGTGTGCGTGTGCGTGTGCGTGTGCGTGTGCGTGTGCGTGTGCGTGTGCGTGTGCGTGTGCGTGTGCGTGTGTGTGTGTGTGTGTGTGTGCGTGTGCGTGTGCGTGTGCGTGTGCGTGTGTGTGTGTGTGTGTGTGTGTGTGCGTGTGCGTGTTTTATGTCGTCAGAACGGTGAAGCGCTGGTACGCCACATTGGTAGTTGTGGTAAGTTTATTAATATTCCCACCAAATTGGTGACCTAGGCCTACCCTCCCTCCCTGGAGGAGGACCGGAGGCCCTGTCTTATCACCACTTCAAGGGCTTGCTGGATGGCCCACAGTTGATCCTGGAGTTCGGAGCTGCGCAGAGCGGCCGTACGCCGCACCGCAACTTCATCTGGGGAGAGTGCGTTTTCTTCTGCTCAAACTGCGCATTCCCAGAGAATGCACCAAAGTCATGCGTGAGTCCAGCCGCACAATTTGCGAGTATGATCTGGATAGACATCTGGATATATCCTCTTTAAACGAATGCGGTTGGGGAAAGTCTGGGTTTGTAAATTGCCTCCAATTTTACCACTTCGGATCTTTATTGCAATACTTTTCTCGCAAACTTTTTGCACATTCACGCGTAGAGGGGATGCCAGACTAAACGTCGCCGACGCAAGAAATACTTCCGGTGTGACTCAGCCACTCGTTGGCGCCCCCTGCTCGTCTGCAAGCGCCCTTCCTTCCGGGTCGAAATTGTCTTCCGGTCGCAGTATGGCCAGCGGCGCCTCGCTGAGTGCGATTCTTGATTGGCTGTAGCAATTAAGTTGCGGCGGCGGCGGTGTCTCACCCGTCATTTTCACGTCCATATACCCAGTGTTCGTCCAAAAGAGAAAAACATAAATGAATGAAGGGGCTTGAACTTTCAGTGAGGGGGAGAACATAGTTGATCATTTGGCGGGTCGAGACTCAGCGCACCGCAAAATAAAACAAAACAAGAAGTTAATGCATAAAGTAGGCGACGTGGCGAACTCTAGCTGGACCAGTTCTTCCCTCAACATGACGGGAAGTCGCGCCATTTCCAGTGCAGCGAAGAGACCCAAACGCACTCACAAAAAAAAACAGTTTTTGTAAAGCGAGTGTATTCTCTTTCGTTATTACTAGAACGTAATTGTTGCTAATATGGCCGCTGCATAACATTCGTCACAAAATTTCCAGTTTTGCTTTTTCCTGAACTAAATGTATCGACGAAACAACAAAAAAGCAATCAGATGGCCAAGGAACGGATAAAAGACAAGAAAGCTCGAGTTATCAAGTATGACCATGCTCTAATGAGTATCCATGCTCTAATATACACAACGTTTATTATGCGACAGTAAACATTACAGTGTCAGCCTGTCTTATACACAAGTCATGAACATCTTGCGCAATTCAAAACATTGCCATGAGATAGATATGGCAATTCTATTTCTTCATATCGGTTACTTGAACAGGTGGATGTTTCTTGCGTGAAAAAATATTTTAAAAAGAAAAAATTAAATTATCATAGTCTGTGCTCACCATTGCTGGGTAGATATAAGCTGTCAATCGTTCATGTTATTCATGTCATGACCAGGCAGACGCATTCGTCAAACCCTCTTACCCACGAAAGAACACAGACAGACAGACAGACAGACAGACAGACAGACAGACAGACAGACAGACAGACAGACAGACAGACAGACAGACAGACAGACAGACAGACAGACAGACAGACAGACAGACAGACAGACAGACAGACAGACAGACAGACAGACAGACAGACAGACAGACAGACAGACAGACAGACAGACAGACAGACAGACAGACAGACAGACAGACAGACAGACAGACAGACAGACAGATAGATAGATAGATAGATAGATAGATAGATAGATAGATAGATAGATAGATAGATAGATAGATAGATAGATAGATAGATAGATAGATAGATAGATAGATAGATAGATAGATAGATAGATAGATAGATAGATAGATAGATAGATAGATAGATAGATAGATAGATAGATAGATAGATAGATAGATAGATAGATAGATAGATAGATATTCTTAAAGTGTCTGCGAATTTTTCGCATTTAAAATGTATGAAACGTCGTTTTCTCAGAGAGATAGGCTGAAGAACAACGCACATTTGTTAGAATTTCGACAGCGAATAATTTAAAACAGGCGTCAACCCCAATATTTCTGCGAATTTGGTATGCAGTGCAAGCTTACTGGCTAGGTATCGTAAATCGCAACAGGTGTCACAACGTAATTACTAAAACACTCTGTCAGCAAAAACTTGTTATCGTTTATTTATGCGTTTTCATTTAACGCCGGCGTTATGTTCAGCTTTTTCGGTTCAAAGATTAGAATTGTGCTATCCACCAGTGCCAATATTCGTCCACATGGTAAAGTACTGCACAATCTAAAATAAAAAAAAACACTTAATGTTGACGTCTGACTTGAAGTAGAACACGTACGCGGCGAAGGCCCGTATGAATATCACCATGCCCTCAAGCAATCGACGCTAGTTCACGTCTTCGTCTCGCATATTAGACGATTTTTTTCACGTCACCAAATTAGTATCGTGCTTCATAAACTGACCACAGCTGCAGGTCCACAACATCTGCACGTACGAGGAATTTCGATTTCATAAGCGCTGTCCATATACTCTAAAAAAAGTTAGTAATCATTTAGTAAACGTGTATGTTTACAAGTTTTCGGAGCATTTGACTATCTTCGCGGCGTACTTTTACTAGCTATCAGCTAGTACAGCTAGTAATTTTAGCCGTTACTAACCAGGGAACATCTCTTAGTGTTTTTAACTAAGCAACTACTGAGCCACCTACGTTGCCAGATTGGTCGTAGATGCCACAGTGCATTTTGCCGTAATAGCGACAGCGTAAGCAAAATTCAGGCAAGCTCTAATTTTATTGACTACCTTGGAATAGAAGTTGTGTGCTACGTAATGGTACACACATAGGTAGATAGAAGGACACATGATGATGCATCGAAAACGACAATTATCTTATAAATTCTGTGACTGCTAACCAGTTCGCGGCATGCGGTCTCAAAGCAGGGGTATATATAATTCAGTAGGGTTGAGAGCTGGGCTAGTTAGTGAGACATGATGATGATATATGATGTGCTGCTTCTGAAATAAAATTAGTTGCGAGTGTAGCGAGTGTCGTGTGTTCTTGTCCTCTTCGTCCCCGTGAAAATTGCGCTACTACACCATATGGTTAAATGATGGTATATATAATCTTCAAGCTGCTGCTGCAGTAGATATCTGCGATGTCGAAGTCCTGAAGATTTACTCGTGCATGTGTTCTCGTGATCTGATTATGTGAGTTCTCATACTCGTATGAGCATATATTCATGTGAGTATGAGAATCATGTGATCATATTGACTCATACGAGCATAACATTTGCTCATACGAGTCCATTGAGCATATGAGATTCACATATGATCATACATATGTGAATCTGATTTGATCATAGGATCATGTCAATTCTCTATAAGTATGCTGCTGCGATGTGCACTTACCCCAGTATAGTTACGTGGCGTAATTCAAAGCCAATATTAATTTACGAGCGCCATGTCAATTCGTTTTCTATCCTATACTTTTGTAATAGAATCATATTATCATAGCCACGCACACGAACATTTAACAAAATAGGCGTACACCTCAATTTAGTTCGTGGTTAGTTCGTTACTAACAATTTAGTAATGAAATAACCGCGTGAGTCAGCACTATTCACTTAATAACTAGGCAGTAATTTTAACTACCCAAACGACGTAGTGCTTTCACCTAGCCTGTTAGTATTTAGGCTAGTGTTTGTTACGAGCCCAACGAAGTAGTGCCTTTCTCTGGGGTTACTTTTACTAGCTGCGTTTACTAGCTGGTTAGTGGATTCTGTGACAAGTAACGGGCTAGTACTTAGTGAATATGCCGACCTTTTTTCTAAGAGTGTACGAGTTCCTTCGTCACTGATAATGGCATACACTGCACTTATATCAAGAATGTATGCCGATAGTATTTGACGTTGATTAACTGTTTCAACTTTCTTTTCCAACGTTCGCCTATCTTCGCTTTTCACCGTCGAGTATCTACTGAGACGTATGGAATCAAATTTTATTTCGTTGCACACTTACAATCTGTACTGTAAAACCCGAACGAGTCCACTACATCAACCTCCTAATCAAGATCGCGACAGCCACATACATGCGCCACAGCGTGAATTGCGTCGTGTTCGTTATACAAACACGAGTCGAGACGTTAATGACGACGTCAAAGCTGACGTGTGATTGCTTTCTTTATCACCCCCCCCCCTTTTTTTTTCTCATTTTTGTGCAGCCGTAATCGTGCCGGAAGCGACCCCCGAGGCGAGCTCCGTACACTTGGGACAAGCCTGGATGCGTGGCTGCGTTTTGTTCGAGGGCTGCCACAGATTTCCCCCTTCTGCTCGCCGCTTAGGGAGCGAGCCGTGTAATTAAGATCCGAACCAACGATGCGTTCATGTGTGACTCTCTCGAGAACGAAGTGCCTAAGAAAGCCGGTCATGAAAAGAAAAAAAAAGGTACCGCTTATGGGAAGAGAAGGAAAGGAAGAATAAAAGAAAGTTCTCCCCGAAATGCGGCGGCAAGGCGAGAGAGACGCGGCATTTGACGGGAAGAAGAAGCGAAACCTTCGAATCAGATGCACTGACCGTGTTTGGCAGACTCCGCTTGTATTTTCGCTGATTCCCCCGGGGATATCACGCTTCCCACGGCTCAACATGCTCGATGCCTGTTCGTTATTGTTACGCAATTGGTATTAAACGAAGCCAGTTTCGAAGGCATTCAGGGACTCGAAAGCCCTTAAGATGCATGCGAGAGGCTTCGCGAGTGCATGAAAGTTCGGCCGCTTGAAGCAGGGTCTGACGTGCTTACGTCAGGCTGATGGCGTCGGTACACTTTTCTGGCTTCGGAGCGTCTTTGTTTCGACATGTAAGCATCGTTTAGTTATTGTAAAAACTGACATCGTGTCCAACATCATACTTAAAAAGAATTGATAAGACTGCTCTGTTCATTATACACCATTGAACAGTGTAATTGCGCGAGTCTCCACACCGGCGACCCGACAAGGTGGTCTGCCTGTTGTGGTGTTAGACTAATTAGACTACTGATATTAGATAAAATCCTGGCCCTTAACGAACGAATTTCGGTGATGACGAAATGCAAGAAGCCCGCGAGCTTAAATTTCGGTGCACGTGAAAGAGCCCCTGTGGTCAAAATTACCGGAGCTCTAGAGCTCACTAAGCATTTCTTTCTTTCCAGGAGGGTATTCCCTCCACCTCACAAAAATCTCACTACTCACTAAGTGCTCTAAGCACTTATACTAGGGCTATTGCAAACCCACACTTACCTTACTTTGAAAGTGCTACACATCATTTACCCTGACCTATACACAAATAATATTTGCCCACATTGTGGGGAAATAGCTTCGCTAGAACGTATGCTCTGGTCGTGTGCTAAATTCGCTCATTTACCAAACATCATCTCTGCCAAGTGTTAGGTGGCAATCCGCAGCTCGTTCTTAGAAGATCACCTCTGGGCTGTCCTACAAGTCCGCCAGGTGGCTGAGGGGCTCAGAATCACAGTCCCCACGTATAGAGCGGCCCGCGACACAGTGATCTGTGTTTTGGACCACGCAGTAAATGTTTATCTAATTCAATCCTTCCAATATGACCTGTCTGACAACCATGGTTTTAGCACGTAAAACCCCCCAGAAGTATTGTAATTATC